TTCTAACTTTTGAGTCTGTGGATGAAATCCTGAAGTGTCACCATTCAAAAGAGAGCCACTGAGAAGTACTTTCCTGTGGTGATGTCTATTATCCTGTTTAAGTAATGATCCAGGTAAGAAGGAAAGCAATTTCTTTTGTTGTGGCGCAATACGCTTTCCTCACATAGAAATGTTTTCATTTTTACGCAGAGAGTGCATAAATCTACAAAAAGGCTGTTTACGGAAGAAAATGTATTTAAACTCCACTTTTGAAGGGTGTATTTTTGTGTTAAAACATTTCGACCAATCACAAGAGTTGCAAACAATGGCCAAGAAATGTTCACAATTTTACATGATCCGCACATACGATTTCTGTGTTACTTAGACTTGGACGAGATTTTGTTATAAGGAAGTTGGATAGAAAAAAAGGGATTAATATACATGCTGCTTTGCGAAGATTTCGTAAAATTTGATGTTTAAACCAATCAGAACCATAGTAGAGACAATAGTAAAGTTTTTTTTGCATTCCAACGTGTTCACTGCGTTTTCGTTCTTTCCTTCCTATCTGGACCATTACTTAACGTACTTCTGAATGTAAATTATGTGGATGATATCCTGAAGCGTCACCATTCACATGAAAGCTACTGAGCGGCAATTTCCTGTGGTACTGTTTATTAGGCTGCACAATGTAGTTTAACTTTTGCGTCTGTGGATGAAACCTTGAAGTGTCACCATTTAAATAAAAGCTGCTGAGCAGTACTTTCCTGTGGTACTGTTCATTAGGCTGTACAAAGTAGTTCCACTTTTGCGTCTGTGGAGATGTAATCATTCATTCGAAACATGCAGTGCAATACTTTCGTCTGCTTTTGTGTATGATGCTGTTCAAGCAAGATCAAAATATTGAGTCCGTGGATGAAATCATAAGGTGTAATCATTCACATTAAACATCACCAGGAGCACTTTAGTGCAGTAAGATTTGTTCTGTACTGTTTTACAGAATGAAGTTTGTTCTTTCCCCTTTATTTTGGTCCTCTTAGAAATTGAGGAATTATTCAACACTTACCATGTGTTGCATTTTTCAATTCTTGTCGATCCAGGTTCATATTCTTTTCCCTCAAAGTAACAAGGGCAGTTCGACTTCGGCACACACTTGTTACCTCTCAGCACATAGTTAGGATCTTTGCAGTAGCATGCTTCCACGCAGCCGCGCCTAGGAAAGGGGGAGAAAAGTAAAAAAAATTTTAAAAAAAATTCCTTAGGCCTTAAAATACTTGCTAGAAGACGAAACACGGGACAACGCAGCATAGACGCTTCCATTTAAATGGAAGCGTGAATCTTGTCTTTAAATGTAAGGGACATGAATCTTGTTTTGCTGGAAATTGGCAAAGAATCTCCCTTTTGCTTTGCATGGCTTTCAGCACTTACGGAGTCGTTCGCATCAATGTCATTCAGGTAGCGACCCTAACGACTTCGTAAAGCTAAAATTCATTTCGGAAAGAAACCTTTGATAGCAGGATAAAAAAGAGCGCGCCATTTCTTAAATCAGCGAGAAAGAAAAACTAATCGACACGTTTGTGCGCTCCTGCGCACAAAAGTGTGAACTGTCTTAACGGAATGTCTGTGCTTGTTATGATTGACAAAGCAGCTTTATCTCGATTTTTTCCACGCTTTGCGGTAAGTCGGAAAAATTTGCGCCATTTTTTCAACCCATCGGCAGTAATTAAAGAACCGATCCTGCCTTACTCCCAAACGTTTCCCGCGCTTGGCCCTATACATGCATTCGCTTTCAATTCTGATTGGTTCATTGAAATTCCTAAAAGCACTTTACTACAGTTTCTGTTTCAGCCCATAACTCCTCAGTCAACATTGTAAATAGCCAACTGGTTTGTTTCCGGCCAGTTTGGATCCTTAACCTTGCGGACCACAATGAAAAGTAATTGTGTTACCCCTACAGTCAGTTTTTTTTTCTATCAAACTGTGAACAGGAGGATATACACACCTCTCGCAGTCTCCTTCGGTTGGGTCCAGATCTTCGCAGGTTTGAGGGCAACTCAACGAGCCGTTGGTTAACCTGTGGCATTGTTCAAGCACCATGTCGGCTCCACACGAAAATGCTAAAGAGAGATTTATTATTTTTTTGTGATCAATCAGTCGCACCCTAATAACCTGCATATAATTCTGAGATTGTTTGCCTTCAATATCTTTAAAATGAGAGCATTAAAAAACACTAAAGACACTTAAAGGTGTGTTTCATCTGATAAAAATATTACACGAATTAGGTTTAAAAAAACTTCCGTCAGCTACGCTTCGTTATTTTCTTTACCCATTTCTCATCGTCTGGGTGTAGGATGAAACATCACTTCTCGTGTTTACAGTGTTACCTCTGGTGTTTTGATATCAGATGAAACACTCCTTGTCGTGTTTGATGTATTACTTCTCAGTGTTTAGTTATCAAATGAAACACTCTATCTCGTGTTTGGTCAGTCGGTGTTGAATAAAGTTCTCTTCCTCGTGTTTGATGTTTGAATATCAGGTGAAACACTCTTTATCGTGTTTGATATGTTACTTCTAGTGTTTTGATATCAGATGAAACACTCCTCCTAGTGTTTGATGCATTACTTCTTGGTGTTTGGACATCAAATAAAACACTTCTCTTCATGTTAATAAGATATCCTGGTATTTTATGTCAGATACAAAACTCACTCTCTGGTTTGTAGCTTTTTGGTTTTAGGACATAAAATGAATAACTGTTTCTCTTGTTTATTAAATATCTTAATATTTTGATATCAGGTAAAACACTCCCTCTTGTGTTTGATATATAGGCTGATTTAGAAACAGAACAGGAACTCATTTGACGACGGGAAAGCGCGCGAAAAGGACTAAACTCGACTTCCGATTCCCAATTTCTCGCTCTGCCATTGGTTTGATTTGCGCGCACCGTCATCAAATGACGTTCCCGTTCTGCAGCCTAAATCAGCCTATTAAATCACGGCACCGCGAATGCCGTTTGCATTGTGAGACTTGTGACAAAATGAAAGCAAGCGAAAGCTGGCAATAAAATAGAAATCAAAAAAAGGAAGATACCCTGAAATAATTACAAAATCATAAAATTATTTAGCTCACCCTGAGAACATGGTTTCACAGAGTTACGCCATCCATTCACATCGATGTCCTTCGCCGCGCATGCCTTTGCATATCCAGCGATCACATTGCACAGGCACCCCTCGCAGCGACATCCATCTTGGATACACTTCTTGTAGAATTCAGCGTATGAAATTTCCTTGTGGCAATCGGCGAAAGGCCCGACAGGATCTACAAGTAAATAACAAACACGTCCGGTCGAAAATGAATGACACTTATTGCTGGATAGTCGCTCGACCGTCTCCGAGATACAAGATCACCAATAAAATCTGTAATGTAACTTCAGCCTGAACGTCGACACAACTTCACTTCAAACGTTTTCAAGTTACGCGAAACTGCCTGACAAAATGCGGCAATTGTTAACGCAGCAACAGTTTGTTTAAACAAACTAAATATAACCCAAAGATTAATTTCACTTTGAGCAATATAGTTTTTGTACAACAATGACAGGGCCATTTAACATTTTCACCCAAAAATGAAAAGGATCATTTCGACGACTCGAAGACTATGCAATTCGAAAACAAACCCTCATATCGTACCTTTGATCACGTTGCATTGCTGATGAGTCCAGTTTTTATTTTGCAAGTATATGTCGCAGTAGTTAATGGAACTTTCCACGGACTCCTTCGAGCATTTATCCTCCGACAGATCAGGGACCAACCACTCTCTAGCAAACTCATCCAAGCTTACTTTATCGTCTCCACTTCGCAGGTGAAAATCATCTTCCTTCATGCCATTGAACGTACCGCAGAGACCGCACGTTTGATCTTGCAATGAAGCATTCACCGTCAAGAAAGTGTTGTACCCTGTCCAGTGAAGGGAAAACGCCACGCCGTTCTGTTGGGTGACATGCAAACTCAATCAGTCATTATCACTCAGGCGTACTAAAAGTAACTACTCTTGCGCCCGTTTCGCCTAAACTTCCGTTCATTTTTCTGGTCAAGTCTTCAAGGAATTGAGGCACGAAATTGAGCCAAATTGAGCCACTAGGGGCTGGCCATTAAATAGGTCATTTCCGAGTTTCAAAAACTCTCACTTTCAAAGCGAGGCAAAGCGAAAAACCTTTCTTGTGACAATGAGTCTTTTTTTGCAGGAGAATAAATGTGAATCGCTTCACACTTAGCTTCGCTTTGAAACAGAGGCATGGGGCAACTCTGAAATGGCCTATTGAGCAAAGCACACGAATAACCATTTTTTAAAAAAGGCGTAAGGTTTAAATAACCCAGCAAATGTAAAAAAAAAGCATGAAATTTAATAGAACTTTGTGAAAGTACTGTTCAGTAACTTTCATTTGAATGGTCACACCATTGGATTTGATTCTCAGACTCAAAGGTTAGAACCACCTTGTACAGCATAATAAACAGTACCAGAGGAAAGTACAGCTCAGTAGCTTTCTTTTGAATGGTCACACCACTGTATTTGATTCTCAGACTCAAAACTTAGAACCACCTTGTAGAGCATAATAAACAGTACCACTAGAAAGCACTGCTCAGTAGCTTTCACTTGAATGGTCACACTTTAGGATTTCATCCACAGACTCAAAAGTTAGAACCACCTTGTACAGCATAATAAACAGTACCACAGGAAAGTACTGCTCAGTAGCTTTCATCTGAATGGTCACACTTTATGATTTCATCCACAGACTCAAAATTTAGAACCACCTTACAACACTCCATCATTCACTCTGGGAGTGCAAGGCTTCAGAAAAGACCAAAAACCCTCAGTTTTTGGTACACTCGTAACTCGTATGTTTGCCACAAGCAGACGACGAACATGGCTAAAAGTAAAAATAACCTAAATCTCACCTGCAGGTCAACGTGGATAAATATGTTCTGGTCGCCCAAAAATTCCACGTCCATCTTCTGCGTCGAGTAGCTCTTGGTGATGGTGGTCACGCTACCATGTTGCGTTTGAATGGAAGCAGTTGGCTTCTTCGTCCAGTCGTCTATGTCCAGGATCAAGTAGGGCTGGCCGGTGACATTTACGAGCAGTTCTCGTCTGCAGTGTGAGTACAAGGAAGAGCAGTACCTAATATGAAAAAAAAAATGGTAAGGTTAAGGCGCAAGGCCACGCCATTTTAGGTGGCCTCTAACGCAGACGTTATTAGGCTTTCGTCACGTGTTCCTCACCCACAAACACGTGATAAAGCCCTGACAACATCTGCGTGGGAGAGTAGTCTGCTACACAGCCGTTTTTAGTGTCGTTACGTTGCGTTGCGTTGCGTGACGACACTAAAAACGGCTGTGTAGCAGACTACGTGGGAGAGTGGATCTAAAACTTCAGCACTCAACCAAAAATTTCACAGGAAACACTGAAATATCAAAATAACTGCGTCAAGCGGTAGAAAAACACAAGATATAAAGTAGGAAAAACTCCAGAACGGAGAACGGATTGGCAGAATTGAAGAAGATTAAAAAGGATTGCATTAAGGCAAACCTGAAAGCACAGCGGTCACCTTTTACACCTCTTTTTCTACAACAAAGTAATTTAGCAGTGTCATCTGCGTTCGTGTAAAAATGATTAGCCTTCTGAACAAAGATTTCCAAAAGATGACAGTCCGTGAGATGGCCCTGTCGTTAGAACCTTAGCTCACCTGTTTCTAATGGTGATAGAGAAACCTCTGTCTGTTCCATTTGGCATGTGACAGTGTTCGGAGAGAATGTAGGCGCACTGCTTGAGATTCATTGTGTAACCCTTGTCGCCGTCAAATGTCGTGATGTGTGGATCACCAAGGACAGAACAGGTCCCTGAAAAAAACGCACTTTATGTAAGTGTCAATATATTTAGCACGCTATTACCCACTGAAGACAATAGGAATGTTCTTGGCAGTGATTAGTTATTGCGGGCGACAAGAGGAGCCCGCAACCCTAATCTCCAGGTTGTTATTACGCATGCGTCGCATGTATGTAGCCAGCATTCATTTTGACTTCTATTAAGAATGAATGGAATACACAGAAGGCAATCTTATGACGCGCGTTTCGACCTTCTTTCACTCGTAATCTGATCACACGTGTTTTCACTATCTGTCACGCGAAACTTACGCAAAGCACAGCGATGGAGCAAAAGCGTTTTGACGTTCAATCGTTGTCGCCCGCACTCCGTGACCTTTGGTTATTACCAGTTGGTTATTATCTTGTTATTTTGTGGTCAACAACCAGACTTGAATACCATCAACTGACAAGATAATACTGAATCTGAAGAGGACTACCGAACAGGTTGTCGAAACGTCAGTCACTGTCAACATCAGTCCTATTCAGGACTACACACTGATGTGGACTATCATATTCCACCTACCTATGACATGATCCCCAGGTTCAAACCATTTACTCTGTTACCAAAAAACTGATGACACTATAACTGACAGCTTACCTGGGCAGGGTTTCTTAACACAATTCCACAGCCCTCCGTTACAAGTGCTATAAACAAAAACAAAGTATTCTTGATAACTGGCATCTTGTAATAAAAAGTCTCCATACCACGGAGAATTTTGTTGGTAAAATATATGATCCAGACTGAGTAAACTTTACCGTTGAAATTTGCACATGGATGTACTTACATAGCTCGCATCGTACAAAACGTTGGAAGGCAGTTCTACACTAACTGAATATTTGACAGGTGACCTCTGACAAAGCGAAACTCATGAAGCAAAAGACAGAACAATATGGCGAAGTTCATTTTTTTGACAAATTTGCCGGAAAAGAAAGCTGGGTCCAAAAAAATTTCTTGATCCCTAGTTTATCTCACTTTTCTTTCCTGAACTTGCAGAAGGATTTGTAGAGTTTCTCACTTCTCAGCATTCACAATAAAATACAATTTACATTTTTAAAAAGAAATTCACCGCTCAAGAAACTGTAAGGGAAATGGATTAAGACCTTTGGCGCAGCGATTTTTGGGACAGTTTGGATGGACAGGCGTTATGATTTGTTAATCTTTGCCTTGAATACCATAGGCTAATCATAACCAATGCTTGTCCACCCAATTGCAAAAGACCCCAGAAATTGTTGCGCCTAAAGCTTGTACCTATTCCCGTTATAGTTTCTGGAGAGGGGAACTAAAATTCTTACCAAGTCTGGCAGGGCTCTGCCCTCTTTGCTCCGTTGGGATAAGTGATATCGCGATACAAACAAGAACAGTCGCTTTTATCAACACACTTATTCCCATCCAGCCACTTGCCTGGAGGACAATGACAACCATCTGTGCAAGGCGATCCGCACTTCGTCTGGTCGCTGATAACATTTCGGCAGGTCAGGGGACAGGAGGAACCACATTCATTGTATTCCTTTTCGTTAGGACAGTCCATGGCTAACAAAAACATGATAATTTAGTTCGTATTCTACTAGGATCAACTGTTCTCGGTTAGTTGGTCAGAAAACCTTTATGGTTTACCAACGTTTTCAACCAGCTCAAGCTTGAAACAATTGAAGGCGATAGGCAGTTATGGCCTTATTTGTTCATTTTACAGGAAAAGGAGCGAGAAAAGTTTAATGAAGAACTGGCTGACTGACTGGCTGAGTGACTGGCCGTCTGACTGACTAACTGACTGACCAACTGACTGGCCAACTAACTGACCAACAGACTGACCAACTAAGTGACTAAAAATGACCAACTGACTGACTGATTGTCTGACTGGCTGGCTCACTGGCTGACTGAGTAACTCACCGACTACCTGACTGACTGACTTATCGACTGACTGATTGACCGTCGACTGACTGATTGACCGTCGACTGGCTGACTGACTAGCTGGTATCAAAAGTTGATTTAATTATCTACTTACGACAGAACTGCTGCCTCCACGTAAGGGTCGTGTTGTGATACCACGCGCAGACCCGCGCGTAAAGAGCGAGGGCGTCACACATGCTCCTAGGGTTATTAGTGTAGTTCGTACTGCACACTTCATACATGCACATTTCCACGAAAGGCTTGGGGTCAACGAACCGGTGACACGGCTGGAAAGCGGGTTCCTCAAGAACGCTGCACACGCGCTCGGCGTGGATTCTACCGTTGGCGTCGTTTCCGTCTGGACTGTAACATTTCAATTTGGTAGAGAGCTGGTTTTGACAGTTCGGATCCTGCTTGAAACTGTCCGCGAAAGAGTTGATCTGGTCCTGTGTTGGGTTCTGAATCTCGTTTCCCTGGATATCGGTGAAGTCATTGGTACTGTTGCCGTCATAAAGACCGCAAAGACCAATCAGTTTGTGATCTTTGGAATACAAGTAGGTATCAGGGACTTTGATGATAACGTCTTTTACACCATCCCAAAGAATGTTGATACGGTCATTAGACTTTACTAGTACATAGCGGCCACTCTGTTGAATGAGAAACAGTAAATAGGTTGAATGATAAGCATCTGAAGAATGTTTAGAATTTCAAGGTACTAAACACATGAAAAATTACTTGTACTTTACTAGCCTCGTAACATGAAAAACTTGCAGGCTATCGCCGATGGGACTGACTGACTGACTGACTGACCGACCAACCGACCGACTGACGGGTTGGCCGAGTGATTGGTTGACTGACTGGCTGACTGACTTGTTGACTGACTGACTGACTAATTGATATTCTGGTTTCCACAAACGAAATATAACTATCACTGACCTGTTTAATTAATGGACTCGACGCCGTATAAGGCAGACTTATCGGATTGCCGTCCACTTTCACAACAAAAGACGTGTTTGTCGTTGCTCCCAGATGCACGCTGACACCATCTACGATCATGTCTAATGACTTCTGGCACGGTACGCTAACATTACAGTTTGGATCACCGTTCAGGACAACTTTGAACTGGTTAGGATTCTCATTGTCTATCACCAACATAGATGAACAAGCTCCAGTAAAGCGGTAACCAGTGTTATCAAAGGTGCTAAAGTGGTCTTTACCAGTTACAAAACAACTTCCAGGTGCTATAAGGATGGAAATTTACAGATTAGTCGCTCCGTAGCTAATTCATCATTTGTAATTTTTTTTCATTTTTCCACGAAAACATTAAGGCGCACGACAGTTTTTGCCTTTTTAAAAACCTTTCTAATAGTTTGTGTTATCCGCCCCAGACTTAGGCAACGCCAAATAATACAGCCTCAGGTTTGATAATTCTCTCTATACTGCTCAACCTTATCAATTATTTTCTTATTATATCCATTATTTTATTATTATATCCATGTTATTAACGTACCGTTTATGACAGGTAATGTTGCTGGAAGAGTCGGGACAACCTCTGCAATAAAATAAAAAATATATATTTTTGAAACGATGGCGTTTTCGAATGAGACATACTGGATACGAATTGCGCTCGTTTATAAAGTACGAATTCGGACGGGTTCTTTTATTTTTGGACTAAGTGATCTGATGTCTTGTCATGTAAAAGTTAGCATAAGCTAAGCCAAGGAAGGAATAGCTGATTGCTGGTAATTCAGTTCAGGAGAATATAAACTTAAATCCATTTGCAACCACGGATCTCAACCGTAGTCAGTCTCTAATGTTACAGTCTGTGGACGAAATTCCAGATTGTAACCATTCAAGTGAAAGCTATTGAGCAGTACTTACCTGTGGTACTATTCAATGTGCTGTACAAGGTGGTTCTAACTTTTGAGTCTGTGGGTGAAAACCTAAAGTGCGACCATTCAAATGAAAGCTACTGAGCAGAACTTTCCTGTGGTGCTGTTTATTACGCTGAACAAGGTGGTCCTTAATATTAAGTTTGTGGACGACATCTTAAAGTGTAACCATTCAAATGAAGCTACTAAACAGTACTTTCCTGTGGTCCTGTCTATTATGCCATACGAGGTGGTTCGCACTTTTGACTTCAGCAGAACGTTCAAAATGTAGATTCCTTTTCAAAAACTAGAAAGAAAATTGGTCCTTTTATGAATTTTGAAAGGGTCAACTATCATTATGTGCTTACTAGAGCATTTTGTTCGGCAGATCGACTCAGTTTTGAAGTTGTTTTCATTTCCGAGGCAGCCAAGCGATTGGAATTGCTTGCAGGACTGTGTGGCCGTATCGTAGTACCACGTGATGTTGTCTCGCTTGAGATTATTTTCAGAATATCCATAGCCAATCGGGTTCCAGATCTTCTTACAGATATCATTCGTCTCCAGAGCATCTGAAAAAATAAACCCAAATGTGTGGTGACATTCATGAAGGAGTAAACAAATATAGACATTAAATTATTCCCTCCCCTTGAGGGCGTTTCAGGCATAATGAAACAAACAATTCGAATCAAACATAAGAGGGTCAAAAATCCCAACTGGAGAGAGGCAAACTACTTATTTATTTACAAACATGACCGACGCTGTAAAATCGGAACTACCGAGAACACATCCAGGTAGCGGGAGGGCGGGAGTTAAACTCGGGGCCTCTGGATTGAAAGTCTAGTGCAATTCCAAAGGAAGAGCAGAAAGGGTGATATTTTCCGCGCTCTTATTTATGTTTTGCCCTTTACTATTTCTCTTTTAAAAAAAAGAAAACAAGGGAATACTTGAAGTCAATTATCTGTCCTAAATAAATGACTTGCCCACTGATTTTGTTACCTCTGCGTCCTGCGCATGCGTCCAAGACGCATAAAAATCCCCAAAGACGTAAAATAATTCAATGCACCGTAATTTTTAGGGAGTTATTATAACTCCAAAAATGGAGGAAAAATTTTCGGTACAGGATAACCCCTTTTTCGGGTTACTTTAACTCCTAATTTAACTCCAAATTTGGGGTGATTTTTACTCCTGAAAAAGAATTCTCTTTATTCCCAGTCTGGAGTTAAAAAAACTCCGAAAATGGAGTTATTTTTACTCCTTACATGGGTTGTTTTTTCTCTTTTTGGAGTTAATTTAACTCTGAAAGTGGAGTAAAAATTTTAGGTACAGGATAACTCCTTTTTTGGGGTTATTTTAACTCCTCAATATCTGGAGCCATTTCTACTCCTGAAAAAGAGTTCGTTAAACTATTTTTTGGAGTTAAAATAACTCCCCAAAAAATAACTGCACTGTAAGGAGCTAAATTAACCCCACTAGAGGAGTTATTATAACTCCCTGAAAATTACTGTGTGGGTGCGTCCCGTCGGACGCAAAGATCGATCGATCTGAGGATGTTTTTGTAGAAAATCCTGTTTCTGTGATTTGTGTGGCTGTTAACGTGGTTGTTGTTTAAAGACGCATATTCATTTTCGTCCCCTCAATTTTTGTTGTTTAAACAGGAGGATTATATTTTAATTTCAGTAAACTGTGATGAAGAGTTTTGGAGTCTGTCTTGAGATTCAGTAACTGCCTGATTACATCAAGACCCAACCTTTTTCAATTTAGGAGTCGTTGTTTTTTGAACTTGGACTCACTGGGACTTATGACTTATGATTTTTCACAAGATGAGTCCAAAGACTCACCATAACCATTTCTAACAAAATCACTGCTTACCGCAATACTTCTCACACTCTGTCTGCGTGAACGTTGTGTTTTTTGAATAGCACTTTTTGTCCACTTCTTCAAGATACTTGAGACAGGCAATCTTGGAGGCAGCGTTGCCAGTGAAGGGGAGCTTATTCTGAGAGTTTAGATAAAAGGTTTCGTCGAGAAACTGGGCACTAACACCTTGACTGAGAGGCATCTCACATGGACGTACTGTTAAAACAAACCATGAACAAAAATGAGAAACATTAGATCACAGCATTAATGCAATTAAGTCCGCGGAGAGAAAGCAGACCAATGAAAGGAGAAAGGGATTAGGAGAGTAAGGAAGAAAAAAGAAGGAAAAGAAAAGAATAAAAAAAAGAGAAAAAAAGAAAAGGAAAGAGGCAGGAAAAACGAAAGGGAGAAAAAAAAGGAAGGAGGAGGAAGGAAGAAGCGAAGGAAAGAAGGAAGGAAGAAAGAGGAAGAAGAAGAGAGGGAGGAAGCAAGGAAGAGAGGGTGGAGGGGAGGGAGGAAGGACGGAAGGAAGCAAGGAAGGAAGGAAGGGAGGGAGGGAGAAAGGAAGAGAGGGTGGAGGGGAGGGAGGAAGGACGGAAGGAAGGACGGAAGGAAGGAAGGAAGGAAGGGAGGGAGGGAGAAAGGAAGAGAGGGGGGAGGGGAGGGAGGAAGGACGGAAGGAAGCAAGGAAGGAAGGAAGGGAGGGAGGGAGAAAGGAAGGAAGAGAGGAAGGGGGAGGGAGGAAGGGAGGAGCGAAGGAAGAGAGGAGGGAAGAGAAGGAGGGAGGGGCAGGAAGAAAGGAAGGAAGGGAGGAAGGGAGGGAGAAAGGAAGGAAGGAAGGAAGGAAGGAAGGAAGGGAGGAAGAGAGGGAGGAAGAGAGGAAGGGGCAGGAAGAAATGAAGGAAGGAAGAGGGGGAGGGAGGGAGGAAGGGAGGAAGGCAAGAAAGAGAGAAAGGAAGGTAGAAAAAAAGGAAGGAAGAGAGGGAGGGAGAGGGAGGAAGGAAGCAAGGAAGGAGGCAACGAGGGAAGGAAGGAAGGAAGGGAAGGAAGGAAGCAGAATAAATTGAAGTCTTGGGAAGCAAGAAAGGAAGAGAGGAAGGGAGGGAGAAGGGAGAGATGGCAGGTGGGCATAAAGTCAGTAAACCAAAGACTCCAAAATCTCCAGAAATCCTCAATAAGGTTGTAAAGAGAGGTCCATACCTAGGTCACATGCTTCACCATGATATCCAGGAAGACAGGTACACATCATCTTACTTAATGTATTATTGTAGCCGCACACTCCACCCACTCCACAGTCAGGATTGCAAAGGGCTGAAAATTACAAACAAACGATAAAGCAGATTTTTTATAATAACACTCTTATCAGGGAGCTTGAGAAAACAGGCGTCAATGAAACTGTTGATCGAGAAAATTCTTTTCTTTCTTCCGAAAATATTTTGCTTTTTTTTTAATATAAACCATCGAAGATGAGTGTTCAAGAGTTCTATCAATAGGGACAACTTACATCTTTCGCACATAGCGCCTGTGTACCACGGCGTGCATTTGCACTCATTAGGCTTCTCGCATGTTCCGCCGTTCTGACAATATGGAACACAAGTAGCTGTGAAAAAAGAATTATAGTTAGGTTGAGTAACAAACGAGTCACGGTGACCATAACGGCTGGTAATTCCCCTGGCAGGGCTGCGCGATCTAGCCGAGCTCGGTGACCCCAAGCGACTTACTTTCGTCTTTGGGCGTCCAGAAAATCTCCGTTTTTGTGAACGCGTATGAAATGCTAAAAGGCGACTATAAAAATTATTCTGTTCAGTAAGTTAGAATTTTTAATTCTGCGTTAGAGCTAGTCAGAGTCTAACCTTAAAAATAAGGAACTTGCCATGACATACACCCTTCAAAACATCGCCACGTACCAGATGCATATCAATTTGCAAGCATTCAAACGTTGCGCCACGTAGTACTGACAAGGCAAATCGTGGAAAAGAGAACTACTCCAAGTAGTAATTTTAAGAGATAAAGATCATTTTTGAATTTCCGACTGAACGTAAGCCACAGTATACAGAATTAGGGAACCACGCTTTTGAACCTCAATGGGAATCGAACAGGCGGATAAAATCTACCGTAATCGTGGCTAAGGAGTTGCACTAAGGATCTATCGAAGAAAAATGGACTAGTGGACAGGACTTGAATCGGGGAACTCAGGATTGCTTTTTGATGTTAGCAGGCACTCTGCTTTTTAATGTTCACCAGTTTGCAGTTTTAGTGAACAAAGTATACATCATTAACACACCTCTGTCACAAAGTTGCCCTGCCCAACCACTTGTACAAACACACTCATTATTCACACAGGCTGCTCCGTTCTGGCAATTTTTTGTGCACTTTCCTGTATGAGACAGTTTTAAACAGTTAGTTGCTCGTTATAGTAGTCGTAACACTGCAAAATAAGTAAACGAATAAATAACCAAATTTATGGAAGAACAGGTGTACAGTAGCTCTACATCTTCAATAACACAAAAAAGGGAAGTTTTTATATGATAAGTACTACCATGTAACATTAACTATCCAATAGAAAATATGTACAGTAGAATGCCATCTATTGTAGGCTTGGACCCCAGCAGTGGGTGTCGCGCGTGTGCGCGCGTGTGCGTGTGTGCGTGTGTGCGCCCAATCATCTCAACATCACGGCTTGGCGCAAGAGCTTACCCATTGTTTAAATTGAGCAATCAGTAGTTAGCCCGCAGAATTTTGACGAAAACCAAAACAGCATTATTTAAAAGACCTACATCTACGAGGGGCAAGATAATTTAAGTGTCTGTGTTACTTTGAATAAGAGGATTCATTTTAAGGCGGTAAAAAATTTTGTTACGTGGTTCAGCAGCTCTTATTGTGAAATCAAGGCTGAAAGAAATGTTAACTCACGTGTCTGACAATGATCTCCTTCCCAGTCCCCTACACAGTTACAGGCTCCGCTCAGACAAACACCTCCGTTTAGACATGGGGGAGAGCAGACCTCTGTTGAACCAACACAAATAAGGTATTAACCAATGAAAATCGGCGGTTGTACAAAAATGTGATGTGAAAGGGAGATTACGGGAACTGATTATTAAATCAAGCAAGGCTTTGTTTCTAGACAATTTCTCAACTAATTTTTGGGCACAGAAAGGGGAAGGCCGTTTTTTTGTTGTTGGTTGTGCATACAACTGGATGCAGCTGAGGAAATTCTTAACTTCTTTTCCTTAATTTCAGATTCATGTTCGCATGTTTTCTTAAGAAAGAATGCTTTGCATTTGTTACGTTACTTGACGCATCCCACGAAAGAGTGACCTTACAGGCGTAGGAAAAGACCTAAACCAGCGTGACACAGCGTGACAGTCTCAAGTGGGGACAACTAGCGTGACTTAATTACTGAGCGTGACACGAAACTTACTCTGTGTGCAGTCAACTCCAGTCCAGCCTGGGGTACAGACACAAGAGTTGTTTACGCATGTACCACCGTTAGCGCACGTGACTCCACACGCACTGCCATCACTTTTAACTGGCAAGTGGATAGTGCGTGCACTGCTTGTTCTTCTCAAGGGTCCGTAATCATCTGTCAAAGAGGAGACAACGAGGAATGTAGTAAGGAATCGAGGACAAGCGGAACAGTGCCAATTTCATAAAACTCTTCAACGTATAATGGATCATTTTACGTTTCTGGGACCTACCCCTCCCCTGAGCCAACATTTTGCCTTAAGTAAGAACTAAGTGTTAATGTTGGTTTAGGGGAGGGGTAGGTGGGAAGTTTTACAGAAACGTAAAATGATCAGGTGTAATTAACAAGTATAGCCATTGCTTTCCTTCTTGCTTTACCTTGCGTTAATGATTTCACAACAAAAAACTATGAAGAATAACTAGAAGAGAAATACATAGGTGTGGGAGAACCTGAAAAGGGAATGAACCTCTCTTACACGCAGGTTATCCGATCTTGTGTTTAGCAAGGAGGGCGGTGAAAACATCACTAAAAAATGAAACTACGCCCTCTCAAACATTATCGCGTCCACTTGGCCCGCTCAGTTTTTCAAATATAGGCGATTTGTCCTGAAGTTGAATTCGTAAGGACTTTATCCAGGTTCAAGAAAGTTCAGAAATTCGTCGTCGTATGTTCACGTCCTCCATAAAACGTCGCATTAGTAGGTTTCACGTCGTAGTAGTGCAGTGAACGACAAAGAAATGTACTAGAAAGCGTGAGCGGGGTGGGGGTGCGCGGGTTGGGGGTAGGGAAAGAGAGGGAAAAGGGCTCTTTCCCTTTTCCCTCCCCCACCCCCGCACCCGCGGGACAGCTTTCTCGCAGGCTAAACAATACGATTTTAAAACTAAAACTTTTGCGATGATTGTAAAGCCTATTCATTGCAACATGGTCTATTAATGAAACAGCTCTTCATTCTAAAAGGTAAATTTTGTCTACGCAAAATATCTTTGGGAAGCGGAGATGGTTTCGGTGTTTTCGAGAAACGGAACCAAATCCCTCGTTCCCAGAATTCTCGTGCGGGGGAACATTTATTGTCACGTGCTAGAAGATCTTTACGTCAACTATTAAATAGCAACGGCGGTTGCTAAGTTAGCGTTTCCACAAAAGAAAGAATTTAATTTCCATTTTTAAGATTTATTTTGCCCTTTTTAACTCTGCCTTCCAGAAGATATACCGATATTTTGAAAGAAAAGTAGTGGATTAAAACAAGGAAAACTGGACAGTTGCAAGAGATTTTATTAAGATCTTTTTTCGGGTTTATGTTGAGCAAAACAAAAAGAAAAAAGACACACCTTGCTCATAAGTCTCAAAATATTAGAGTCTCGTAAAGGGTATTTTTTCAAAACTTAACGAATTGTTGTTAAGCAAAAAACACAATGAGGTCAAAATTATACCATTCATTCTCGTCATTTCTTTATTGAAATAGATTTGGGTCAAAAGTTGTGTAAAGATCTTCAATAACCAACGGTTCTGTTAGACCACCCTGTATTTTTTCAAGTGATATTTAAGATACTTTTAAAAGACAAGGTATAAGTTAAAGACATGGCGAGGCAACTTAAAACCAGTGAAAATCTTTCATAAAGCTATTTACGTTTTATAAACCTGAAGTAGGTTCTTAAACATCTTTTACAAAAGGTAACAAAATGTAATATACGTTAGCGTAAAACCAAAAGCGTAAAAGAGGGGCTAAAAGAGGTGTTACTTCGCGATTATAAAGACTGAAAAAGCTTCTTTTGTTGGTGGGGAATGATAAAACTGTTTCATGATCCGCGAGAAAACAAAACGCATGATTTATCAGTACATCTCAATCTATCGGCTGAGTAGTGCATTCCCGTAGTACTCTGTCTTAACGTTGACGAGGCGGATCTACCTTTAGAGTGTGTGATATTGCGAAGTGTGATAATTAAAATGAAAGCTACTGATCAATACTTTCCTGCGGTACTGTTTGTAACGCTGTACAGATTGGCTCAAGCTATTCTGTGCGACGAAACCGATGGCGAAAACATTCAAATAAAACCACTTCGACCCCACCTTCCATAGGTCTTTTTACTCTCATGAATTTTTAAAAAAATGGAAATTTACTTTTATAAAGCTTGACGGTTACTTACAGGTTCGGAAAGATCTTTGCTGTCTCTCCAAGTCGGCGAGCCCGTCTACTTCAGCCTCAAACGTTTCTGGCAATTCATTTCTGAAAGCCAATTCCATATACATCGTTAGATTCGCCTAATATTATGACTAACTTTCAAGTAATCTTTTTTATTCCTTTTAAAGTAAACTTTTGTTAAACGTTTTGCGTTCACTTCAAGGTGTTGGCACGTTATGTATGAAACTTGGCCGATTTACTGAACAACCGAAAAAGGATTAAAATTCAAAGAGCAACGCCCAGCACTTCTTGATCAACTTGAGGTCATTTGCAATAAGAATCGTTTTCTCCCTTTTTTTGTGAGGAAAACATTAATTCCTTGTTTAGCGAATCTGAGACTAGACGAGTCCAAACTTAAACTCTTGGCTGTCGCCTTATTTTAGCTTCCTTGTTTTAGAAAATTTTTTCCTTACAAAGAAGCTTCAAATTTCCTTTCTCAACAATGAATTCTAAATTATGGAAGCTTCGGCGTAAAGCGCTGACTATTTTAATCAACATTTTCCAGTATTTCAGAAAATTTTAAAACTGAACACGATTGTAGAGACAGCACTGAACGCTGATAAAAAATATTTTGCGCCTCATGGTCATGAAATTTCGAGTCGCTGGCACGTACATAGTTATTCATTTTTCAGAATTGCCCAGCAAGGGAATTGCTTTCCAACATGTTACTTTGTAAAATACAGTTTTGAATTTTTCGCTTATGTAATTTGCTCGTTCCAAAACGAGAACTCTTTCCGTTTTGTTTCCTTTTTTCCCCGTTCTAAAAGGAGTGGTGATTTCTTTTGTTTTTCACGGCCCTTTTTTATTTTCCTTTTTCTACCTAGAGAGAATATTCTTGATTTAGTACTTCATCTATCTCTGTTACACAACTTCATACCATTAATGGACAAATTCAGTGAGAATTTGAAAGTACAAATTTGCTAAAGATATTCCTAAAAGTAAATGCAAGACTTACGAGGTAACACAAGCGATTTCTAGAAAATATTTCGGCGATTACCTTGCTGCGTTAACGATCCCTTCCGTGAAAACCAACGCCAGGAGAGTAACATACGCTAGTGGGCGAGCTTGCCCCTCGTATCGCATTCTCAATCAACGGATATTTTCTGTTTTTTTCTTCGTTTTGCTGGGTGTTTCCTCTTTACTTCGGCCCCCTAAAGTACAGAGCTTCTTTTTTTCTTGATTGTTTCTACAGGCTTTTTTCTGCCGCTGTTAACTTGTGAGGCTGCGTTTGGGGGCTTCAAACACTTAGCCTGTAATAATGTTGATGGATTTTGAAAAAAGTAAATTTAACCCCACTTACAAACAGCTCAGTCCATGGGCGACCAATAGAGATTCACCCGAGATTGAAAATTGTTCTAAAAGGGGTTTCCTATCCATGGCGACCTCAATTCTTCCGACATTTTACACCATAAATATCGAAAAACTCACAGACTACGAAGTAACCATGGACACCTTGTCACTGTTTTCGTGAAGAATTTTGTCATTTAGCCATTGGGAGGACGAGATTTGCTTTGAATTCAATTAGTTTCACAAACTGTAATTGCTAAAATAAACACCGCTATTCAGTTTTCGTACACTAATCACGAAATTCACAAATAAGTGAAATATCAATTTGAACGAGGAACGATATTTTTGCGACTATTTTTCAGAATGCGATCGGTACTTTTTGACAAAACAAAATTCAAGAAAAATGCCAAATTTTGTAAAAGACTACAAAAATACGGTAAAGTAAAACAGCAAAGTACATTTCAGTAACTTTAGGATTTCATTAACAGACTCAAGTGCTGGACCCGGAAGCACCTTGTATAGCATAATAAACAGTACCACAGGAAAGTACTGCTCAGTAATGTTCTTGTAAAAGGTAACATTGCTAAACTATAAATCTTTTTTAACCCGGACTAAATAAATAACTTAAAAATAAACAACTTTTAACCTGAAAAATTTCAGTGATATTATTAGATTGGTTTCTGAACATCGAAGAGTATATATTAGTACAAATTCTGTAATTTCTTCAAACCGACATTTCTTTCTTTCTTTCAACTACCGAGAATACCGTCATGTAAGCTTAATCGAGACATGCCCTAGCCAAAAATAAGGCTAAAATGGCTTATTGTCATCAAATATTCCAGAATTTTATTTGAAAGTATTTTTCTCTGATTCGTATAACTGCTTATTTTCTTTATCAAATGTAGCCCTCGAAAAAACAATGTCCTTTGGAAAAGGGAGAGGAAGTTCCTTAATATTATAGGATAGCGATATTTATCGTCATTATAACCAGGGAATTGACAGAAAGATTGTGAAACTAACGTCAAAGACAACAGACTATTTTTATTTTCTCAAAACATGATTTTGCAAAATAAAAACCATACGAGATACTGCATTAAATTTTTCAGCACTGCGTGTTAAGAAGACAATTTTCAATATTCAACAGTAAGGTCCATTTTATTTTATTTTGTTTTTTATTTTTGACTGCTTTCTTCCCTTGATCCAAGAAAAGAAAACTTCAAAAATAACCTTGAGCTTTAAGAATCAAGAAACATGAAACAAAGCTTTAAAGCTTTCGAAAGAAGCCGATTGGGTTATTAGAAGATACACAATAATAGACACTGAGAAAATGAACGAGATTTAATCTGTCTCCATATACCATCCTTGCTAAGTGAAAAAGACTTGAATAACCATCTTTTTTTTTTTTCAAAACGTGCTTTTAAATATATAAAAATGTAAACAAACCAAGAATATAAAACAAACTATATCATCCTGAAAGTACCTTCCCCTTTCTCATTTTGAAAATTTCGTGGTTTTCTTGCCAAGAAAATACGCCAAAACCAGTGCCTTAAGTTTTTTTTTCAGTAGAGGAAAGAATTCTTCGCGAAATTTTTTAAACAGTAAAAAGAGACCGCAATATACCACCCCAATCCCGAATTCACACCGTTGAAAATCATAAAAATTGCACACTGGTTGCACGTGCGATTTTTACAACTTTCACGTGAAAGACATACGCTGGTCTGTCTTTCGTTGCTGTGAGACCAGACGGAACTAAGAAGAATTGCGCACTCCGACCTTTTTCCAGACGTAGGTGTCATCTTAGTCAATGATAATGAGCTGTAAAGTATTCTAAAAAGTACTAAATTCATTTAAAAAGTGCTAAAAGCTGTTTTAATTGACATTTGAGAAGATAACAAGGAAAAATTCCACAAAATCATAAATAAAAGAGATCCTTTTCTTAATTATAACTGGAGAAAGCTTTAACTTATAGTCATCAAATACGATCAAAAATTCAGTAGCTTTATATATCACCCAGCCATTTTAATAAGGTGACAACAAAAGATCTTGTTGTATTGCTTGAGATGATTAAATCGGCTTGTTAACAGAATTTTTCGGGTTCCCCAACCCCGTCCCTCTACCCCTCAGCATTAGAGGAGGTTCGACACCTGTCACGTGGCTCTTTATGTCCAATGAAATTCATCGCTCAAAATGCTCATGGCGGACACGGGAAAAACAGTAGCACGTTAGTTCGGCACAATAATTTTGCGTTTCTCCTGTTCCTTGGTACATTTTTAACCCAGCAATGTAATAAATTTTCAAACGCCTACCGTGCAGCCTAAACCATTTGCGCGTGGACAACAGCCGTTATTGCAGGCCCTCAAGCGGGTTTTGAAGCGCGCGACACGCGAGAGGAGGCGCTCACGCGCTCGGGCCTCAAAACCCGCCAGATCGCCGCCAATAACACCTATTGTGCAAGCTAACAGGCAGCCAAAGCGAAAACTGAGAGTACAAGAACCTATTCATTTACGCGTACACTTTTACCGGTCCACACGAGAATGGTACTTTTCTGTGTACCTCCTCTCGGGATCAACATTTGTATCTAATATTTCCACTGTTGACGGAGCAGTCCATGATTTGAGGCAGCGCTTACCTGGTGATGACGCCGCCCACCTAACCTCAACCACCACCACCCCCCACCAACTTTTTGCCCTTACTGAAAAGTTACTGATAATGTTGCTTTAGGGTAGGGGTAGGTAGGCGCTTGGAAGAAGTGAGCGCAAGAAAGAACGGGGCGCGTGAGGGAGACACACGAGGGGGGAGGAGGGAGCACCTGCCCGAGAGGCCCATGAAAAGGCGCTTGGAAATAGTGGGCGCAAGAAAAACGGGGAGTGCGCGCAAACGGCGTGGAAAGTCTTTCACTACTTTTTCCCATTCTTCTAGCTGCTTCCTCGCTCATTAGCGAGTGCTCCCCAACAAAATCGTAAGCGACGCAGGCTACGTAAAAGTGATAATGCACGAGACGATTTTTAGCGCAACATAGCCCCAGAACATTGTTTCAAATGGTTGCAACATTGTTCCAGCATTGCAACGCTGTGATGCGCTAAAAATCGTCACTGCGAATCGTCCCATGTAACATCACCTTAATCTTATACTGATCCCAATGTTTCAAGTAAATGCGGACAATAAATCCTAGATGTATGTATCATGTCTGCAGTCCCTTTTTTTGTTGGTACAGTATAACCGCGTCTAATTCCGACACCATATTCTTCGGGCATCTGTGTTAAGCGAGCTCTCTGAATCAACGTCAAAGACACGTATTTTGTTGATGCAAAGACCTGCTCTTAAATACTCGAGGTCAAACAGGAGAAACTTGTCAATTCTTCTGCCCTGCCGAGTTAATGATAGAACAGTGTTTCAAACGCGGCAAACTAATGATTTTAAAAATAGTCCGTTACTTTTTTTTTAGGTTGCGGTTCTGCCAGACGGACTGAAAATGACTCTAAGCGTCCTCGGTTGGTTCTCATTCGTGAGGTACACATCGATGCATGCAGTGCGCAGATAACCGCATTGTCCGTTCAGCAAGGTTATCTTTGTATGAAAGCGTTTTACTCAGACCGACCAAAATGGCTAATTTGAGAAAAAAAAAGTTTTTCGACGGGTCAAAGAAAACAGTGGGTTGGGCTTCCACTGGAGTTCAAACCTGGCTGATTCCAGCCAGAATAAAGTGTCACGTCACCTTTTTCGACGAGCAGGGAGAATAACCATCATTACAAAGACAAACGTGCTTTTAGCGTTGCTAAAAGTAATTTTAATACTAACAGCTATAGAATAAACAAGTTAACACTCACCTTATCTTTGAAACGGCTTTTAAACAAAGGACCAGGAAAAGCGCGCAAAAAGCACGCGAAAAGCAGTACGTGTTCACGCATGGATATATCATCAGTCAGTCCAGCATCATCTTTGAACCCTTTTTATTACAACTCTTGGGAAACATTAGTACCGACCGGTAGCAGCTCTACTTTAACCATTTTAAATGCAAACCTTCCTGTAGTAGTCTCTCCCTCCAAATAAGCATGATAAAAGCAGAAGTTTTAATTCAGCAGTTTTCTTTGTGGACAACATACATAAAATGCTGAAAACCAGAGTTAATTTCTAATTCTCGCCATATAAAACGTAGGTTACAATTCTTTGTCTTAAAGTTTGTGTGCATCACCTCTTGTTTGACTTTTTCTAAGAGGCTGAGTCGCATTTCAGGAGGCTCATCAGAAAATTGAATTAGCTTTCCACTGGGTTTTAACACACGCAATGATTCTTGAACCACATCCACAAAGGCTGTTTCTCCTTCAGTTCCCTTCAACACCGCATCTGAAGTTCCCTTATCAAGAGCGAGCGAGAACGTATGTTCTTTAAATGGTAAATTCTTAGCATCAGCTCGGTGGCATGCAATGCCTGGAAAGTCTTCTGGATTGACACTTTTCTTGAGAAGACCTTGTTCAAGGAGAATTTTCTGCATGATTTTAATTGCCTCAGGTGAAAAGTCAACTAGATCTATGTGGCATTTCCTTTTCAAGTGATCAAAAAGCTTCAAGCTGAAATCTGATGTACCACAGCCAATGTCAATGATTCTCGGAATAGGGCAATTGTTCCCAAGAGACGGTAGGTAGGGGACAAGGTATCCACTGACGTCTTCAAAATGCACAAACCAATCAAAGTGTTTGTTGCCTTGACGACTTGTATAAAAATTGTTCCAGAATGACTGATCTGACATGTCTCCAAAGAACTGCATTTTTAACAAGCCTGAAAATACATAGAGATCTTTATAATAACCCGAAATTTTTGTAGCCTCTCCAAAGGAGCTCAAACCTCTTATGCCTACACAGGGTTGAGTTCTCACTTCTTCTCTCATGAAAGTCACTGCCAACATACCCGGTCATTGTCAGAGTCCTGCAAAAATTGAAGGGAGGGAAAATCCCTCATTTTCTCTTAGGGGGTGGGAAGGTGAGGGTACAGCTACATGTAGGCTAGAGACCTGATTTAAGGTAAAGTGAACAGCCACATGGCAATATCAAATCTCTGATTGGACCAGTTAGAAAATAACAGAAAAATAAGCAATAAGACACGGAGATCTGTTACATCACCAGTTAATAATAATATGCCAATCAGCTATAACCGAGGCTAATATTGGCAGTAGAGCTGCTACAGCAATTGGCTCAGTTGTTCAAATTTTGAATAGCTCTAGCCACTGGATAAATCACCAGCAGACAAGTTGCGGGAAAGCAATAATGCATCATCCACTGGATAGAGACCTATCTAGGGGATAGCACTAAACACCGTTTGAACAACTGAGGCCTGGTAGACAGACTTTCATAGATTTTTTTCAAACCTGAACAGTAATGCAGACACAGCCTTGGGTTGGGCGTCAGTAACCTTGCCACCTCTAAATCTGCCCATGGTTGGTACATGTACATTCGCCATTTTACAAACAAGAAGGGAGCAAGGGCCAAAAGGCGTCCTGCAATTGAAGGGTTTCCTAGAAAAGGGGCACTTGTGAAGACTTTAATAGTAAACAGTCAAAAGCGCCCATTTTCTAAGAGACCCTTCAATTGTTTCCGGGATCGTTACTGGGGATGTGCTGATTGTATGTTGGTCATTTTTTTTCGCTGTCTTTAGTAACCGTCCCATAAGTCTTTCGGCCTAGTTCCCTCTCCTTTCTAAAGAGGGCGAATTTACATGACAAAAAACAAATCAACTATCTCTTTGGTACCTGAACACACTGTAATGGTAAAGTGCATGCAGTTTTATATTTTTCTCTATTCTCCTCTATTCGGTGGTTCCATGGCGGAATACTGTGTAAACTATAATTGAATCAATGTACTTGAGCGCCCCCGTTGCTACTACTGCCTCGAGGGGGATTCCCAGGGCTAAATTAAATTTAATACAAGTACGTAACAACTTTACCTTTTGGCGTCAATAAGAGATTTGCCACTGATCTTCCGTACAGAGAGGGACACCTTCGTCCAACTACAAACATAGCCTTTTATGCCGAAGCGGTGAAAGAACTAGTGTGACTTTTTCTTCGCGCCAGGACTTAGGAGATTTGCAAAAAATTAACAGTAAACAAGGGTACTTAAATTGTCACCTTTGAAACAAACACGTGAAAATAATGATCTGTAATCATAGCTGTAGAAATCCCTGTCAATGAATTTCGTTATCGCAGAGAGATTTCAAAAAATCCAACAAATTGGATGCCCTCAGAATCGTCCGCCATCTTGAATGAAGTGACGCATTTTCAACCAGCAGTTGACAGCTATTTTAAGATGCGCGGCGCAATTAATGTAAACTGTCATGTCGGATGGGAGTTGCAAGTAGATTCGCACAAATTTTACGAAATATGGCGTGGAGATCTCATGGCTCAAGCAACAGTGATCTTATCGACCAACTTAAAGGTATTATGCATTTTAATGCCTTGTTCAAGGTAGAATTTTTAACCCTAAAAATCGCTCTGATTTAGATCATGGCGTATTGAAAAGTGCACGGGTCGAAGAAGCTCTCCGTCGAGTTGACAGAAAACATTACTGCAGATCACGCGCGTTTGAGGATTCTCCACAGCCAATAGGTATGAATGATTGAAAGTGGACATGTCTACTTCTCTTTTAACTGTTTTTTTTCTCAGTGCAAATCGGAAGGTTATAATATTATTTTATGCTAAAAGTCTACCTACTATGGTCATAAAATGTAAGTACCAAATAGAAAGACTTGCTTTTGAATACTGTTTATGTATCCTCCAAAAAGCAGGAGGGGGAAGGAAGTGCCCTTCACCTCCTCTTCTGCTCCCACTTCTCCTGTACTCTTAATATGTTCCGTGGCCTGTACTCCCTCATCTTACAGAGAACGACTACTGCATGAGGAAGGTTTATTCCACACCCTCCCCCCACCCCCCTACTCTGGAGTTGCCTGTCGGAAAGTTTATATAATTAGAGTCCTAAATGAGACAGCTAGCTGAATATCGGCATTTATGGTTTAAAATATTGCCTTTCCATTCTAGACACCCCATGTGAAACGAAAAGATTTCAAAACATTTCAAAGTGAGACAATACGGTTTAACTACGTGAGCGATAAGCGACAAGGACAACTTCGTAAACACTAAAAGCCATGCAAAAGAGAAACCTCTGTTTGCAGGGTAAGTGAGATGACAAGCATCCCCAGCCCTTTCATGAAAGAGTTTCTTCCCAAGTATTTCTTGACACTCATTTCACACAAAGGAAGACCACAAGTGCAAACCACAAGTGTTGCGATGCACGTTGCCCTCGATGTACTATGTGGTAGTCCCAGGGGGGAATCCTTGGTTAAAGCAACAGGGATGCTCATCATCTTGCCTAGAGGTAGAAATTGCTTATTTTCCAATGAGCATGTCTATTACTTTCTCATAAAATAATGACCAAAGGAAAAATGTTTTGATCTTTTAGCAAATTCTCCCAACTGATTCAGTAAGGAAATGTATAGAGATCAGTTGGGAGAATTTATATGCAGATATTGGGGCCTAAAGGGTTAAGTACACATAAAGCTGTGCAGGCTGCACACATGTACTTTGACTTTATTATCACAAATGAAAATAATAAATATTATTATTAGTTGAGATTATTGTTCTTTTCTTTTTCAAAAGGTTTCCAAGCAACAATAAGTGCGCCACACATGGTGAGTAGTAAAAATTATTTCAATTTGTGGTTGATAGCGATTTTGGTATAAACATAATCAATTTGCTAATGTGTTGACTTGAACTTGGTTGGCAGTCCAGCTGGGGTGTTATGAGGAGGAAGTGAATTTCGGACTCCTGGATTATGACATTGATGTGCTGACCACTTGAAAATGCTTCCTCCTATTTAATTCACGTTCTGGTGGAGTCAGAGTTGGAGTCATAAGAGCACTTATGACAGTGTGATTATATAAAATGAGAGGCGTAAGTGCAATGGAATCAGAGTTGGAAGAATCGTAGCATTTCCATTTTTCTTCTGACTTTGCTCATGACTCTAGCGCTTATGATATAGTGAAATCCAGATTATCAGCGTCACAAGCATAAACAGAACAGTAAACCAATCACAATGCTGTTTTCCACATGTTATGATTAGAAAAGCGACATGAGTAGAATTGAAATGTTGTTTCCTCTTTATCAAAGTGTTCTATGCTTCTGATAACAACTGACTCTGACTCCCTTACCCCTTTAAGCCTCAGCATCAACATGCATCTTCACACTGTTATTCGTACATTTCGTACATGGTACTGCTTGGGAGAATCTGTTCAAACGTCTATACATTTCTGAATCATCTTTGGTGTTCATTTCATTCCTTCTTATGATCTGTATCTTTGATCGGGCACTGTCATTGTTGGAAGAAATTGGATGTGGGTCACTATTGGAGCTTAAAAGGTTACTAGTGAAAAACATGGTCACATTTTATTGTTAGCCATTTTGACTTACCATATACGTTTCAACCTTCAGCATGTGTACGCACTGCAGCAGCTTGAAAACCACCTCAAAGAAGGAGCTTGTGCCCTTGATGTTGGTTCTGGCAGTGGATACCTTACTGCCGCTATGGCTTATATGGTAATTGGGAGCAACCTTTGCCTTGGTTCAGCTTCAGTTTTGCACTTATTTACGTCATTTCTTTTATTTAAATACTGCATTGTATATTATTTTGATAGAACTATGTTTGGCTCTAGGTTGGCGAAACAGGAAAAGTTTATGGCATTGATCACATTGATCAGCTAGTGAAAGACTCCATTGCAAATATCAAAAAAGGAAACCCTGATCTCTTAGCTAAAGAAAGAGTAAAACTTATATGTAAGTATTTAGAAGTGAATATGGACAACTTACTTGCGGAGAAACCAGTGCCATGCAAGCTTTTTTTTATACCTGTGGCATTGTGCCATGCATGAACATGTTTAACCCTTTAAGCCCTAAGAGTGGTCAGTATCAAATTTCTCCTTGTAATGTCAATGCTTTGTAAAAAAGAGTGGTCATGAGAATTACAGACATGATCACACACAATGAATTTGCTTGATATTTTATCAACTTCTCCCCACTACT